TTAAATGATAGGTTCACCATCTCAAGCCAAAGTTCAAGCAAGCAATGCCCCTCTCCCATTCTTCTGCCTTTTGAATGGCTCCAATTTCAAATGTGAAAAGAACATGCTTTCCTTTTGGAAAAAATAAAGCAATTTCTGACTTCTTAAGAATTGTCTCAATTTTTAGCTTTAAAGAAACAAGGAATTCTCCTTGTTTATCTGTATATTAAGACTATATTACCGAAGAAACCTCATGCAACATGAAACTTTCTTTAATTTTACATTTAGATGAACAGGAAAGGTCCACATCCGTAGTCAGAGAGCACAGAGCATCTGTGCAAATGCATCATTGCAACACCCATTTCAGCACAGCTTTGGTCCTCATCAGGACCCCAGCACTGAAACATTGACTTGCTACCTTCTGTGTAGCCTGTCCTTTTATTGCAGAGTAATGCACAGGCACTAATCTTAAGTCAGAAGTCAATTCTGCTATCATGAATCTTCTGGAAGTCTCCTTCCAGATCCCAATTGGTGCTTTTCATTAAGTTTCCTCCAAGATGTACGACAAAGTGGAGAGCGTTGCTCACTAGCAAATGTAATAATCCTGGAATGTGACACTGTAAATCTACCATAGGTAAAACTGTACAGAAACTCTCCCTCTTCATTTTTATTTCTAATGTGTGGTCCACAGCCTAACAAAGATACTATGCTGTAGACATAAAGAAAAGGCACATAATGAAAGTTCTCAGAAGCATAACTAAAGTTTAAAATGTTAACAGCAGTTCAAATACAAAACTCGCCACAACAGAGCTGACATTTTCTCCCCAAAAGCCTGAAGTATCAGACTGTTAGTGTCAATCCTCAAAAAACATGCACAGAAGATACAGGTTCACCCAAAAGTCAGCAGCATGGCTAAAAAAAGAAAATTATGGCCACAGCTGGAGAAGAGTTAGAGAGAAAAAGCCTATTTCTGCTTTGAATTTTGTTCAGAATTGTGCTTTGGCTTAGCAGATAAGGAATGAAAATAGTAACAAGCCAATTTAAGTCTCTCAGTAATAATTGCTAAATGTTTTATAGACCCAATGATATTTTGCTCAATTTAAACCATATCTTAATATAACACTTAAAATATGTTTAAATTTTTCTTTATATTTGAAATTTTTATACCCACATACACACAATAAATATGATCATATCTATTACCATTTTCCCTCCAACTCTCCCCATATTCTCCCATCATACCTCCTCCTTGTAACATGCCTATAATAAAAACTAACCTACTACGTCTAGTTAGTGTCGACTATACATGCATGGGTGTGGCATCATCCTTTAGGGCATGAGAAACCTACCAGCTGCCATATCCTCAATAAAGAACAATCCTCCTCCAGAAACTGCCCACTGCCAATAGCTGCTCGGTATGTGTTGGACCTAGAGATCATCTACCCATCTATGCCAGGATTTGGTAACCACAGCTGCTGTGCCTTCACGACTGTGACAGCCATATCTTCCGTATCGGAAGACAGCATTTCACAGTGCTCCTTCCCATTTCTGACTCTTACGTTTTTTTCACTTCATTATTCCGATGTTCCCTGAGACTTTGTGAGGCAGAGTAGTTAATAAAGGTACCCTGTTTAGTGCTAGTACCCATTCTCAACTCTTTGACTAATTATTCACCTCCCTATTGACTGCTTTTCACTGCAAAAGGAAGTTTCTCTGACCAAGGCTGAGAGCAGCCTGGCTCTGTGGGTACAAACATAATGTTTGAAGAAGAGTTGACAGCATGACCATTTCACAAAATAACCATACCAGGTTCCACACAGGATCTCATGACCTCACAGCCATGGGCTTTTGCCCAGAACCAAGTATGATATCTCCTCCTGTGAAGTAGCCCTAAAATCCAGTCAGTAAGTAGTTTCTCCATGACAGTTGCATGACTATTAAGCCATCAAGCACATTTGGCCTGGAAGCAGCACGTCATCTTAGACTTCAGACAGAGAAAATCTAAACAGTAAATGACACTGACATTAGAGAAATGCTCATATATTGTAAAGGGTCTTGTTTAACTTTCCCTATCAACCACATTGTATTCACTTATCCACCACATAATTTAAAATAAAAAACTATAACAGAGTTGAGACTAAGGGGAAATATAACAGTTAATAATTAAGATGAGCAGTATTTGAGAGAGCCAGAGATCTGAGTGCTGTTGATTAAGACATTTATTTTAGCAAGAAAACTTTACCCACTGTGTGAGATGAAAGAGTAGTGAAGTCTAAAAGAAGAGACCTGAAAAATTGGATCCATCGAATAAGAAAAGAGCCCGAGGAAGAAATCTATTGATAGCGATTGACTCCTCATCTGTCAGTAAGTCTAAAGCCATTATAAGTCAGTCACCAAGGCCCGTGATGTGGAGGAGAAAAGTTCAATAGAGAAAGAGGTGGAACAAGATCAACTGGAATCTGCAAAGACAAAGTTAAATCAATGAGACACTGAAATATGTCTGATTGAACACGTCCAACTGTCACCATGACCTGCAAGTAAAGCTACCCTGCCCCCACATCACAGAACTGCAGCTCTCCTGGCTGGGACTCAGAAACTAAAAGGCAATCTACACAAACCAACAAGTTCATGTGGTCTTCCTTCTGTGATACACTGTGGCATAAATTAGGTAACAAAAGGATGGAAGAAGGAATGGGAAAAAATGTATATATGTGATTAAATTCATATCAAAATAAGACATTAGGGTATGGGCTACACATCAAGGGTACCACCAACTACTGCTACCAGCACTGAGGCACAACCACTGTGGCTACCTTGCTGATCAGCATTAACTGTCTGTCCAAGTGAATAGCCATCACCAAAGTGTGTAAGAGAAATGTGGACTTCTGATACTCACCCAGAGAAAATGATTCCCCAACGCTCGCGCCTTGGGGGACAAGATACAAGCTATTGTTACACAAGAGCCCTGGGAGTGTGCGGCGGAACCCAGTGCAGCACTTGTTGGGAACACAGCCCTACTACTCACAGGGGTGTGAATCTTCCCTATCACTTCATTCCTTGAGGTGTAGAAGAACCTATCTCTGAGAAAGTTCAATTCCTATCTCACTAGGGGCCATGCTGTAACTTGTGGGAAGAGGGAGAGCAGGAGGGCTCTGAATGGTTAATTCTGACAGAAAATAATCTAAACTCACAGAAATCCCTCGTTTACAGGGAACACTGACTTAACTTGTCTAAAGTATCCAGATTAGCAGTCCACCCGGCACATGTGGAGACTGATGTAAATGATAACACAAGAGGAGAGAGAGACAATATCACCCCAGTGAGGAAGGAAAGCTGACTAAAAGCAAAATAATACCTTCTATTTTGTGCTATTGTTTATTTTATTAAACACTTTAGCTATGTTTCTATATTTTTAATTTTTGATTATTGAATTTTTACTTCAATAGTTAAGCTATTGTATTGTAAACTTTCATCTGACCATCGAGTCCATTTCTTTTCTGCACCTATAAAGTTATTTCTTTTCTAGATTTCTACATTTACCATAGTTTCCACTGCCTCTTACATCTCCAGTTGTATAGTTTCCTTCTCATACATCTCTGCCCCTTCTTTCCACCTTCCCCATTCCTTCTTCAATTTTATATTTAAATATCAATGTCTTAGCTCTTAAAAATGTTAAAAGTACACTTTCCCCATTCAAAATCTCAACACAACTCTCTCAGAGACTTATCAGGACAGTGCATTTCACAGGTATTAATGTTGAAACTGCTGGGATGAATCGTTGGGGCAGACGGCACAAAATGGCCTCTAAATAGTAGTAGAAAACATAAGTCTCGAAAACACAATCCTCCAAGTGGACTCATAAAACAAAACAAAGGTGAGAAACTGTAAGACATTTCTATCTCCACAGATGCACAGAACACAATGCAACCTGTCATAACATGGTCACAAACACAAAATAGAAACTTAAGACACTAAGGTGGCTGAAGTTTTAGAGAAAGAATACAGAGTCCTACTTTTAAAAAGGATAAATAATCATATAGAGGACTCAAAAGGAGATGGGGGAGATAAGACATCAATTCAGGACCTAGACTAGAAAGTTATCAAACTGAATATAATGATCAATAACTTAGAGAAGAAATGAAAAACTTGGAGGAAAACTTCAGTGAGGAAATTGAGACAATAAAAAATAACCAAATAGAAATTTTGAAAATGAACATAGTGGGTCCACACTCTGCTCTTATTCAGTATGGTGCTCAAAGTCATACCGAGAACAAGATAAGAAAAATGTATAAAAGGTACAGATACAAGAAAAAAGAAGAGCTCAAATCATCCCTATTTGTAGACAGCATGGTTTTATACTTTATATGGACACCACCAGAAAACTTTTAACTCTGATAAGCATTTTCAGTAACACAAAAATCAGTAGCTTTTATACATACCAATAACAAACTTGCTGAGAAAGAAATTGGGGAAAATATCTCATCCTAATAGCTCCAAAAAATTACCTAGGAATATCCCTAAACAAGGAGGTAAGAAGATCTCTACAAAGAAAAGCTTCAATACAATAAAAAGAAACTGAAGAGGACACTAGACATTAAATGAACTCCTGTGCTCCTGAACTGGCAGAATCAATGCTGGGACTGAGGGGTCACAATGGCACGTAAGTGTCAGTTACAAGACCACTTTCCAATAATTTTGCTAAAACACTGTCTTAAATTTACTATTCTGCTAAAACATGAATAGATTCCTTTGAAGGATGCTAAGATTGTTAGAATAAAATGCTGGCTGTGTTAAGGTTTTTCTTCAAGGGAATCAGGTCTCACATTCATGTAAGGGACTCTGGGTCTAGAAACCAACTCGTGTTTGGCAATTGAGAGGACATAACTTCATTGTGATGATTCAAATAAGATTGTTGTTCTAAGACCTAGAGATGTCTACTTAAAACGAAGTATGGCTACAAAGGGCTGAATAAATATTTGAGTCTTACATATCCCATAATGATCAAGGATCTCTTTTTACAGGTCAAAATCTGATGACTGCTTGCTTTGCCCCACTGTCCAGTAAGAGAAATACATTCATCTTATTTCTGTCAATTAACTGACGCCTTTGGTCCCTGCAACCCTGGGATCATGTCATCCCTTCCTCTGAATTCAAGATCGTCCAATTTGATGGCAGCTTTACAGCTTACAACCCTGACCTGTAAGGAAGAACCTCCAGGCCTCTGTAAGATTCAGGACTCATTTATAACATTTCTTACAGCTTCAGTGAGGGAGTGTTCTCATTTCCTATAACTTTGGGGAAAAGAGTTTCTAGTCCCTTCTGGGAGATAAAGTTCAGTATTGCACACACAAATTTTACATCACAAATCTACCCTTACATTCAATCTCCCTTAGCCATCAGATACTGTCTTTTTCTACTGAACGTCTAAGATTTCTGCTTCAGTTACTGTACATCATTTGAGGAACAAGTTTTAGTAAACAGACTAAATAAACTCAGAGGCATTCTAGCTGATATAGTAGAGCATAAGATCCAGAATCTCTGCTCAGTCCAATTACATCAAGCACAACCTAGTATTTCACTTTCCCTACACTGTTCCAATTATTTTAAGGATCCATTTCTATAGATTGTGCTCCAAGATTCTGTCAATATAAATTGAAAAAAAAATACACCTATCTTACAATGTACAGGACAGTTTTACATGTTGTATTTACTACCTGGCCTGCATGGATAGCTCATGGATTTTAGTCTAGTTATATATCTGAAAAATAGTAGATGGAGATGGATACCAAGTAACCATGTAGTTACTTGTGAGGCTTTTCCCTTAGAATGGGTTTGATAGTCTTCAGATACAAGGAGACTAAGTCCAGAGATAATAAGGAAGTGCTTACTCTGACAGACAGTCAACAAAGCTTTTAAAGTCCAATGCCCCAAGCTCTGTCAGGGTCTTTCTACAAGGGCCATATCAATTGGTTTTAGTTTCTACTATGTCTAAATCTATGGGACACTTTCAACCCATGAAACTCTGCAAGGCTATAAACTTGTTTTGCTTTAAAAAAATGACTTTAGGACTTAGAAATACGTTTCAGAAATCTACTAACCTTGTGAGTTCAGTAGAAAAGTTTATTAGGGGGCAGCCAAAGAAGGATTCTAGACCATTCCTTGCATCCTGAGACTTGAAGTCATAATATTCATATATTTACTTTTTCTGTGCATTTTGAAATAGCTGTGCAAAAGGATTATACCCAGTGTTACAACAAGGGTAGCAAGATTTTTTCAATGATAGCAAGAATTTGGCCACCCAAATCCTTGTTTTCTTCATGGACACTTATTATAATTATCCAAAGATGATCATTAGACTTATTATACTGTGATATATGCCAGGCTGCATGGACTGCCAGTATATCTCTTACCATTGGAAACTCTCTTATTGATGCTTCTAAATTTCATAAGATCACAAACTAACTTCAAGATTATCCAAACACAGAGGTTCTATACTCCAAGTTCTGTTCCTATAGAAGAAAAAAAACAAAACAAACAAATAATCCTGCTTTTGGTTCCATTGTATATAAATTAAAGCAAAACATCCTGCATTTGTTTTTAATTCATTTGGAATACTCTATATAACTGGCAAGGTAAAAGGTTAATAAATTCAAAGCATAAACTTTTAAAATTCAAAATTATAGATACAAAACACATTCCTAGAGCCTACCAAATCCTATTCAAATAAACAAAATATAAACAGTCCTCAAAATCCTCCATTGTTCTTTATATTTGTGTTTCAATATTAGAAAACACAAAAAATTAACAGCGTTTTTAATATATTAAATGTTAGTGTTACTAATTAGGCTGGGTGCCTAGAATACATCCTAAAAAGAAAAGGAAAAATGTCTACACTAAGTTTATTAGGGAAAGCAATTTCAACAAGGGTAATGCATTTGATTAAGCAGAGCATATGGTCTAGAATGCAATTAATACAAGCCCTGTGTTATAATTCTTGCCTAAATATGTGTGGCAAAACATCTTTGTTCACAATGTCCTGTTACAGTAAGATGCATTTGTGAGCCTAGAAAAGACAGTGATTGGGATCTTTATGCCTGTTGAGTGGAAAGAGGTCTCCACACATTCCTTTCTCTCAAGCTTTTTGGGACAATCTGTTGTGGAGGAAGACAACAGAAAAATAATCCTGTCTAAGACTGCTCTTCAATTGATTAGCTGACACTTAATAATTGGATAATCATAGAGCATTAGAAGGTAAGTAGAGGTCCTAAACACCTCTACATTCAAAAACAACATTTAAATTATTTACATTGAAAAAAGAGCTGAATCTGTTTATCTAAAAGATGTCTTCCTTAGCATCACAGACATTACTAGAATCCCACTTGCCTCTCCAAGTATCGTTTTCTGAATACCAAGCAAATGTTGGCAGGCCCTGCAAAGTGTACTCTTTCTAGGTATAGATCAATGAAATAGTGCAATACACTCAATGAGACTTGGTTCCTTAGAATTGCTATCTTTAAATGCACTGCATTTTCTAATAAATGAATGTTATAGTGAGTTAATCATGTCTGGTAAGTCAACTCCTTTCTACAAGGTATGAATCTTATGTATCATTTTTGTTTATAAGTGTAAACCTTACCTTAGTCTACACACACAGACAGAAATAATAATAATAAATTCAAAAAAGTCCATCATACTAGTGGATTCTAAAAGGTATTCCAATTTCTGGTTGAGTTTTTGGGTCCATTGGTCTTCTCAAATATTAACTTTTACTCAACTCCCTCCCTGGCACTACAGACTCACATTTTAAGACTTCAGGGTTAGTAGAGTGTAAGATCACATTATGAGGTCAATAGTAAAGACTAAAAAGATGCCCAAATCACTGATTTCTCTCCTCTTTTAGTGACTTTATACTTGCCCCCCTTCTTCCTTCTTACCATGTATGACAGTTTGAATGAGAATGGCTTCCATAGGCTAGTGTGTTTGAATGTTTGATTCTCGGTTGGTGGACAGTTTAGGAAGAAATAGGAGGTGTGGCCTTTTGGAAGAGGTGTGTCACTGGAGGTGGGCTTTGAGATTTCAAAAGCTCAAGCCAGAACCCAGTTGAGATCTCTCTGGCTGCTGCTTGTGGATCAGATGTGAGCTCTCAGCTACTGCTCCAGCACCTTGTCTGTCTGCTGCCTTACTCACCACCATGATGATCATGGACTAACCCTCTGACACTGTTCAGCAAGCCCCCAATCAAATTCTTCCTTTTATAAATTACCTTGGTTATAATTGTCTCTTCACAGCAATAGTGACTAAGACACCAAGTGAAAGATCTACTTCACTTGCATAAGGACCTCAATCCCATTGTGTTCAACACTAACATGGAGAAATTGATATTTGTGTAGATATTTTACAAGTTCATCTTTATGGTGGAAATCAACAAAAGTTTTTGTTGATACAGATGGAGCTCTTGGGGGCTGGAAAGCCATAAGGTCTGTATGTTAAATTGCTCTGATTGGTCAATAAATAAAACACTGATTGGCCAGTTGCCAGGCAGGAAGTATAGGCAGGACTAACAGAGTGGATAATTGGAACAGGAAGGCAGAGAGAGAGACTGCCAGCCACTGCCATGACAAGCAAGCAGCATGTGAAGATGCCGGTAAGCCACGAGCCACATGGCAAGGTATAGATTTATGGGAATGGATTAATTTAAGATATAAGAACAGTTAGCAAGAAGCCTGCCACGGCCATACAGTTTGTAAGCAATATAAGTCTCTGTGTTTACTTGGTTGGGTCTGAACAGCTGTGGGACTGGCTAGTGACAAAGATTTGTCCTGACTGTGGGCCAGGCAGGAAAACTCTAGCTACACCCCAATCACTTGCATCATCCTGCAACTAGTGAATAAGAGACATGAGTCAGCAAGGCACCTGTGGTTTTAAATACTTTCAGTCTCTTTCACTCAGGAGTGGGTGCTTATCTAGTTAATGTTGAAATATAAATTGCAAATGGGCAAGTGATGATGTCATGAATATATGCCTTCATGGAGTCTTGTAGCTGAATAAAACTCTATAGTCACCTGTAGCAAAAGAGGACATTACAAGAATCTGTCTCTGTTTACTGTTTCCCCTTATTTTAAAGCATCACAACTATGTTAATGATCAAGGAGTCTGGACATAGTAGTTCACATGTCTGGTGGGTTAAGTAAGCAGCTTATTTCAGAGAAGCATGCAGAACAGTGTATGTAACCTGTTCATCACAGAGTGCAAAATATATCCAGCTAGTTCTAGCCCTCTTGCTGCCCTAGATGGCTATCATTTTTGCCTAGAGTTTTGCCACTGCTGTAACTTCTGCTCTCTCCCCTCTTCAGAAAATCCACTAAGTGTGAGCTAGAGAGAACTTTTTAAAATGAGCATCCCATTATACTGTTTAGAGCATGTCTTTCTACTACTTACAGTGGGGTCCCAATCTGGCTGCCTATGATGGCTTCCAAACACACCAGTGACTGGGGATACCCATCATTTAGTAACCTGGGGAATGCCTTAAGCTCTGTAGGTGAATCAAATATATAGCTCCCCATTGCTGCAAGACCCAACACAGACCATATCACTGCTGACTTCATCTCTTGTAGTGAATCCTCATGTATACTACCCAAAATGCACTGGCATGTTCTCTGTTTCTTGAAGACAATAGTCAAAGCCCCATTTCTTGGCCATTACACTACCTGTTCTATTTCCTTTGATGGCTGCTCTTGACATACCTACTGTTTTGCTTACTTTTCTTGTGACAAAACAAATGAGCAAACAAAAACCTAAAAGGCTTAGCCTAAGAAAGAAAAGGTCTACTCGGACTCACAAATGAAAGGTTATAGTCTATCATGGTGGAGAAGGAATGGTGGCAGAATTAGGAGTCAACTGATCATATTGACTCTGTATTCAGGAAGCAGAAAGAGATAAATGCTGGTATTCAGCTCACTTTCTTCTTTTTATTCAGTCAGCAACCCCCTGTGGAATGGTACCACTCATATGTAGAGTGAGTCTTTCCACTCCATTGAAATCTCTCTAGAAACATGCTTAAAGACATACACAGAGTTTTGTCTTCTAAATGAGTATAATCTTGTCAACTGGTGATGCCATCTGCTTAACTTTCTTTATTTCTTCACTATAAAACCTGTGTTTCAGTTAGTGGCCACCTGACATTTTATACCTATCCTCCCTGATTTGTATATTTTTTTCTCTTT